GCAAGTGTAGATGTTTGTAAAGTGTGTAAAGCGTGAGCGAACGAAATAAACTCGCTATATTGGGACAACGGCGTGAACTTATTTGTAGCGTGACACACCAAACACGCTACAATACAAATGTGACGTGTAGACCCGTTGCTAGGTAACGACAGCAAAAAAAGAGCTATACAACAGCCGTTACTGAGTATAAAATGTGGCATGTATACCCATTGCTAGACAACGACAGGAAAAGAAACAGCTATACAACAGCCGTTACTGAATAACGGCTTCACAAACAAGAATCTTTGAAAGGCAACAATTGGAAACAGCAACAAAGTAACGGTATTTTCTGTGGGGTCCGTACCGAGATGTTATAAGTAGGACAGTTAGTGAGTGTCCCAGAATTTAAGGAAAGAAGTATAGATTAACTTAATTTTTTTATGATTTTTAAAACTTAAATTTCTTTGAAATTTCTTTGAATATTTTGTCCCTGTGATTAATTTTTAAACAGGCAGATGTTAACATTCAAATTCGGTGACACGTCATTATCAAGGTGAAGTTCGAAGCCTATTTATCAAAACTTAATTGAACGAGAGACAGAAATTATGATTTCTTTCATTTAAACGAAACTAATTTGGGGAAGAATATGGAAGGAAGTGGTGGTGGCCTAACAGAGGTAATATACAGATATCTGGAAGGGGCTGAGTACCACCGCAATAAACCTCCATCAGAACAGGCGATGTCCAGTCTGGGTTACGAGCCCAGCACCTGCGTAATATAAGTATAGAGCATTTCCGCTATAAGTTGTTCAATAATTGCCCCTGTTGCCTAGGGCCGAATGATGGCGTAATTGTAAGCGATAAGTATTAAAGAATTTAAAAGGAAAAGGCCTTGGCCTATTTTAGGTGACTATACCTAAAAACCTTAGATATCTTACTCAGAATATATCTTCAGGGCTGACGTTAGAATCTAAGGCCTCCAAAATGCAAAACAGAAATGATAATCGCCCGTCCGCGGTGTTAAATTGACCTACATTTATACATGTACTTGCCCTATATTGATGACGAGTATAGAATTTCACGCTATAAATACGAGTATTAAGATACGGGAGGCGTGTTTCAAGGGTAGAAAGTTGCCGCAGGTAATGATAAGAAAAGTAAAAAGGATTACATTATGTTAGATAAGACGTGAGAACAATAATTGTGCCTTCATATAATTTTTGGCCGCGCCATAGCTCAAGCGGTTAGTTACTGGCTTCCCACCGCGGCGGTCCGGGTTCGATCCCGGGTCTGGTCAAGTGGGATTTGTGGTGGACAAAGGGGCTTTGGGGCGGATTTTCTCCGAGTACTTGGTTTCCCCTGCCAATCTTCATTCGACCAAATTCTCCATCATCATAATCACCCGGGGCAGGCTACAATAGGCCAATCAGTGGCCGCCGTGCCGAGTGGACCCAGTTGGACTCCACTCCCCACTAAGCGAATTAATTAATATAATTTTTACGCACTTAATCTGCGAGGACATATAACTATGTTTTATTATCAACTTGGAAAAAAATCACTCTGCATTCTTTTGCTCTGTTGATCAGAACCATTTCTTATTTCCAACTCACTTTTATATATCTATCTATTTACCTATATATCTATCTACTTATTTATCTAGCTATCTATGACTCTACAGTCCTTCTGTTGGACCTTGGCCGGGTTTTCAATTTCTTGATCCTCTTACACAGTCGGTAGGACTCCTTGGACGGGGGATCAGCCCGTCTCGAGGCCGTTACCTGCACACAGGATAATATAAACACAGAATAAACACACATACAGACACCCATACCTCGAATGGGATCCGAACCCACAGTCACAGCGTTTGAGCAAGCGAAGACAGTTCATGCCTTAGACCGAGCAGCCACTGTGATCGGTTTTGCTACTTCTATACGCTTCTAAAATATCATTTCTCTGTCACTGCAGAACTCAGAAGCCAAATAAAGTAGAACTAAGGAGGAAGTGAAGCAAACTTCAACCATTTATCGCGACACACGGTTTGGGAAACACTGCTGGAGACATGTAGGCCTAAAGGTGGCCAGTTCGGTTCTGTGCCGGTTACTAGTGACGTTTATCTCGGGTGTGTCGTTCCATGAGAATGTCAGGAGAGCATCTTGATGTGTGTCACGGCCGTCTCGCGCCAAATTCTTATCTAGCCGCCTCTGATAACAATGCTCTCGTCTCATTCGATACCATACGGCCTATACAGCTTACAGGCCGCCGCTGAGTAAGATAAAAATCATTGGTTTCGAATCATCAAATGAGGGTCAGTAAGTTTTTTATTTTATTTAACGAATAGGCATCAACTGAAAAAGCAAATGCATTCTTTCGAAAAAGTCAGACTTTAATGATAAATTGAGAAACATCACTCATCCACTCATGGAGCTGAGCCCTTCTTGAGAAGCCGCCAATTGTGCGGCTACTGAAAAACTTCCCAGTATTTTATGGAAGCCTAAGGTTCATTACCGTGTTCACAAGAGCCCTCCACTGGTCTCTATACTGAGCCAGATCAATCCAATCCATACCATACCATCCTATCTCTCTAAGATCCATTTTAATATTGTCCATCCACCTATGCCTTGGTCTTCCCAGTGGTCTCTTTCTTTCTGGCTTTCCCACCAATATCCTACATGCATTTCTTTTCGCTCCTATTCATGCTACACGTACATGCCCTACCAATCTCATAATCCTTGGCTTGATCATTCTAATTATACTTGGAGAAGAGTACAAATTATGAAGCTCCTCATTATGCAGTTTTCTCAATTGAGAAACATGCAAGAGAAAACTGCGGTGGCTCACTTCCATTCACAGCTTCAGGACATTTTCGAAACTAACTAACGAACTAAGCTGTGCCCTTGTTCAGAAGCCGAGAGTCTCTCGGTTTCTGAAGAATTTCCCGACATTTTATGGAACCCGAAAGCTCATTACCGTGTTCACAAGATCCCTCCACTGGTCCCTATCCTGATCCAGATGAATCCAATCCATACAACCTAAATCTCTCTAAAATCCATAGTAATGTTATCATCTCACCTACATTTAGGTCTTCCTAGTGGTCTCTTTCCTCCTGACTTTCCCACAAAAACACTATGTGCATTCTTCTTCTCTCACATCCATCTACATGCCCTGCCCATCTCATCTTTTTTAATTAGATTATTCTAATTATGTCTGACAAAGAGGCCAAGAGAACATTCCTGAATTAATGTTAAATAACCTACGCTGAATCTATGGATTATCTTTGTGAAAAACGTAAACAACCCAGTTCATAGTTCTGGCTTTCTGTACATTAATCGTTTGTCATCTCCAATTCCGACAATATGATGTCGAATAGTGGAAACAGTAAACTGCATTCCTGTCTTGATCCCATCAGGTACTGTTATCAGAGATGCATTAAATCCATCGATAAGTTATCGATAAGTCGCGAATGAACAATAACGTAAAGATGAAAAATAAGAGGTGGGGCCGATAAAGTACATTCGTCTCAGTTACTCTGAACTGAGCGAGTTTCTGCTGGAATTCACGAGTTCCATATTAAGTTCCTATAGAAGTTCCTATATTTGAGCAGTAGCAATCGGAACGTAGCGACGACATTGATTGAACCGCTGACAGACCTAGCACAGGAAGAAGTCAATTAAGCTACATACACCGCACTTGTAACGTGTCGTGAACATTCCTCTGTCGTGGATCTTTAATATCCTGTGCATCACTGTCGTTAGTAGTGGTTTATATGTGAAAAATGGCCTCAAAGAGTAACTGCTTTTCCTCGTGTGCTTTGTGAAGGAAGGTTATGTGTAGAATTGTAGTGAGATTATTTGTGTACATCTTAACTCGTAAACAACCTAAACGCCTTATCTGTTAAGGCTGCTTTCAGGTTTGTGTGTGTGTATTGTTCTTGGAGAATGAAAGTACAACTACCTTAAGTTAAATCTAGTTCTATGTGGAAGGACTCAATTAACTAACTCCATAAAGAAATTTATGGAGATCAGCCCTTCTTGAAAAGCCGCCAATTGTGCAGCTTCTCAAGAAGTTCCCAATATTTTATGAAGCCCGATTGTTCATTACCGTGTTCATAAGAGCCCTCCACTGGTCGCTGTCTTGAGCCAGAAAAATCCAGTCCATTCTATCTCTCTAAGATCGATGTTATTATTGTCCACCCACATACGTCTTGGTCTTCCTAGCGATCTCTTTCATTCTGGTTTCCCACCAAAATTCTATACATAATCCTCTTCTCCCCAACTCGTGCTATATGGCCTGCCAATCTCATCCTCTTTGACTTGATCATTATAATTATAACTGGCGGCCATCCTTATGCAGTTTTCTCCAAATTCCTTTCACCTCATTCCTCCTTGGTCCAAATATTCTCCTCAGCATCTTGTAATTTAATCACGAACTGTAAAGGCCGATCACAGAGGCCGCGCGGTCTAAGACATGAACCGTCTTGGCTCCCTCGAATGCTGGAATCGTGGATTCGAATCCCCCTCGAGGCCTGAATGTCTGTGCGTGTTTATTCTGGTTTTGTGTTCTGCTTGTAGGTAGTGGCCTTGCGACGGGCTGATCCCCCTCCCAAGGAGTCCTACCGACTGTGTAAAAAAAAGATTACCAAACTGATGAAGAGGCCAGGGCCCAACAAGGGGCTGCAGAGCCATTGGAGAATGAAAAAGAAAATGATTAAATGAACTGTAAAGAGGAAGATTAATTACGTTACAGACATGAGAGTGCATAAAGCAAGGAATTTCAAATATAATTTGCGTCGGCTTCATGGTGATGACCTCAATATTTCAATCTTATCGTAGATAAGAGGTAGTGATCACAGTGTGTGAACGGTCTAAGGCATGAACTGCGTTTGCCCGCTCAAACACTGGGATCGTGGTTTCGGATCCCACTCGAGGCATGAATGTCTGTGTGCGTTTATTCTGTCTTTGTCTTGTTCTGTCTGTAGGTAGAGGCCTTGCGACGGGCTGTTCCCCCCTCCAAGGAGTCCTACCGTCTGTGTAAAGGGAATAAGAAACTGACAAAGAGGCCGAAATCCAACAAAGAGTTGCAGAGCGATAGATAGAAAGATAAGAGGTGGAATTTTCTCATCGCATCTCCCGTTTATTTTACTTTCGATCACTTGCACAATAAGAGCATTTACGTTTGAACTTTCTGATTCATTGAGCAGGACGAATACATCGAGAGTCTAATGAGCCACTGTCACACCAAACTGAACAACCGAACTGGGCAGTGCAACAATATCCAATATATGACAATGGACAATTCAAATGAGAAGCATGATGTTGACGAACTGAGTTCAAATATCCAAGATATTACGAAGGAAGAGAACTTCAAACAGGAAGAAACTTCCATGACAACAGTGAGACAATGCGCTAATGGAGGCGAAACAGGAACCTCGGATAACAATGGAATGGAATATAAACCTTCAGAAAAATGGAGGATTCTGAAGAACATATCAGTGATCAGCTTAGCATTTATGGTCCACTTCACAGCGTTCCAAGGCGCAGGTAATCTACAGAGTTCCGTCAACGCTGCCGAGGGCCTCGGAACGGTGTCTCTCGCAACAATTTACTTCTCCCTTATTCTCTCCAACGTCTTCCTGCCTGTCGTGATGATAAGGTTAGTGGTTCATACTTCCATTTTACTTTTTAACAGCGATATGAAAATTGTAAATAACCTTATGAATAAAACACCTCTTTCCTAACCTCGATTCGATCTCATCACCCTACTCGTTGAAGGCGTATATGGGAGTGAAGGTATAGCTCCACCATTGACCTGGACACTACATGAAAACGAGTGGTCAGCTTCGGTCTCCAACCGCTTTATCCTCAGGGAACGCAAGTCTGATGTCTAGTGCCCGTTGACCTTAGAGAAGGTCTGGACACTGTAGACTACATAAAAGTCTACTGAAGGCGTGAAGATGACCACTTGCCTCCATTTAGTACCGAAGTTAAGAATCCGTGGAGCAATACCTCCGCTGTCCATATGTCTTTATGGTATGCAGTTGAATTAAGCACATAAACAACGTTATCCATTTGACCAATATAATTATTTCATGGATATATTATTATTCTTACTTTTTAATTCCTCCATGGTTTCGTAACAATAAATTTTTCCCTGGGGATTTTAGCCGCACGCTCAAATCCCAACCTCGAGGACCAGGGTCTCCACTTCGTCTAACCCCTACCCTTTGACCTGTCCGGCATGGGTGGTGCTACCAGGCAGCTAACGCTCCCGCCAGCATAACTCTCTGGGTCATTGGCGCTCTCAATCCTCCTTTCCACGTTAAGGCTGTAGTCCTTAAGGAAAATTCTTACTGTGACAGGGCTATTATCTCGAACCGCATATCTTGCATGTATGATGGTACAGGTGCATGGCGTAAGTATGAACGTTAAGACACGAGCACACTTCTTATCTACACAACCTAAGACTTCATTCATTTTCTTACACTGGTAAAGGAACGTCTCAGCTGAAGAGACCATCGTGTTTGAATGAGACTGAAAGAAACCAGATTCCCACAGTTAATAATAGACACACGCCTAACTCCTCTCAAGTTACACTGTGTAGTTTTCTATGGCACAGAGGCTCCTCTTGTTTAGTTAGAGAGAAAACCATGACTCTGATTAAACTGTCTAAACGAGAAACTAAATTACTCCACGAAGAAGGTCTCTACTTGAAAAGAGAGTTCTCCAGCAGGAGTTTCCTCCTTTCATAGAGAGTGATGATTAATTAGTGTGATTATACCCCCTCCCCCATTGGAACATACCATGAACCAGCTGAATCCAGTTCGAAACTCCGTGGCTTTTTTACGGCAATTTTTAGCCTACTTTCCTTATTTTTAAGAAATAAAATTAAACATTTGAAATCACAATGTTGTCTGTGTGTTTGTGCATCTCCCCTATCAAATTTTAAAGCCTGAACCAGTCTTTACAAAACTTTGTATTTATTTCATGGAACCTGAGCCTCTCTCAAAGCCGTACTTCTTAAATTCTTCCCATCAGTCTTTGTTTCTATATGTGAGTCCCTTTACCGTTGCTAGGCAACGGCTCGGTGAAAACGTCACCATAGCATCGAATGCACACGCAACAATTGAATTGTTGGATGCCTCGTTTTCTATGAGGTCCGTGTCGTATCAAAGGAAAGTAGGTAATTATTTCTTCCAAGAATTTCCTGTAACGTTGAGATGTGAATTTCTCACATAGTGACTATGAAGACTAATATCTTCTGGGGTTTGACCGCCGTGTAGCGTGGTATATATTTACCGATGTATTCTCGCACCTACACCTAGATCTCCTAAGCGATTTATTCTCTTGAGGCAGTGGTTTCCAAACTTTGTATAATGGCGGCCTCTCAGCCTAGCAAAGGCTTCACTGTGACCCCTTCTTTGTTATGTACGTGTATACAGAACAGCTCTCTCGGTTTTTAATTCAACATTAAAACATTTTAGTTTCTTATCAATTAATAATCATCATCATCAGTAATCTGTCAAGACGACAGGTCCACAGTCTCTTTCAAAACAATTCCTCCACTTAATGCGATCTAGAGCTTTCTCCTTCAAATGACAGTATCCTCTTCTGTCCCCAAGGTCATCCAGCATCTTCTTACGTCTTCTTCCTCGTCTTCTTGTCACTTCTATCCGCCCATCTATCTTTCCTTCGATAGCTTCTTTTAGAAGGCAGTTTCTGCGTAAAACATGACCAATCCAATTAGCCTTCCGTTTTCTTATTTCATGTAGGATATTCCTCTGCTCACTGACTCTAATTAACACTTCTTCATTTCTCACATAATCGGTCCAACTGATCTTCTCCATTCTTCTCCAACACCACATTTCGAAACTTTCCAGATGTTTCTGATCTACTGCCCTAAGTGTCCATGTTTCAGCCCCATACAGAGCTATGCTCCAAATGTAGCATTTCACTAGTTTCTTCCTCAAATTTAAGTCCAATTTGCTGGTAAAAAGATTCTTCTTCTTGCTAAATGCAGCTTTTGCCATGGCAATCCTGGATTTAATTTCACAAGTACACCTTCCATCATCTGTTAACAAGCTACCCAAATATTTAAAACATTTCACATTCTCCACTTGTTTTTGGTCTATCTTTATTGTGACTGGGGTTGGTTGTCTCGAAATTTTCATTACTTTTGTTTTCTCCACATTCATTTCCATGCCATAGCACCTTCCAGTTTCAATTAGTCTATCAATCATGCCCTGTAGCACAGTTTCAATTAATAATATGCATCAAAATTTCACAAATGTATGAAATTAAACAATCGACACCTGACATTTCGAGAATTAAAATAAAATTAATTTTACCATACAATTTTTCCCAGAATATCCCACCTCGCACCCTATCCAACTAGTATTTCCTCCTAGGGGGTGCGTCCCACACTTTACAAACCACTGCTTTGAGGTTTTCAAATCTGACTGTTTCTGTGCACCGGCTAAGCTGCGGAACCGGTGTTCGATTCCCGACATGGAAAGAAATTTTTCCTCTCTCCATATAATCCAAGACGACTTGCTCTCTTACCAAAAAATTCACAGAATTTTATGGAACCCAAATGTCCATTATCTTATTCATAAATGCCCGCTACTGCTCGGTATCCTGAGATAGATGAATCTAGTCTACAACGTCCAAGCCTCTTTCTTTAAAATCTATTTCATTATTTAGAACAGATCTGCGGCTGTGTCTTCATAGTGGTCTCATCCATCTAGGTTTCCTTACAAAAATTCTGCAAGTAATTCTCTTCCCTCTCTGGAGTGCAGTCTCATCTTCCTCGGTTTCAGCATCCCAATAACAAAAGTTGAAGGGTAGAAATTACAAAACATCACAATAAGCAGTTTTCTAACCCTTCTTCCGAAAATCCGTTTCAGCACCCTGTTCTCAAGTACCCTCAGCCTTATTTTCCCTCTTGTATGAGACTATGTTTCACAGCATACAAGATTATATGTTCGTATCTGCAATCCTCGTTGTTCCAGATAGCAGATGGAAGCCAAAAATTCAAAATAAGTGGCAGCAAGGACGCCGAAAATTTAACTTGGACACAGAAATATAGTATATTTTCAATTGAATAGCAGCAAACGCTTCCGGGATAGAATTTACTCCAAATACAAAAGAAAGAAATTGTGGTATTCTTTTATCATCTCTAAATGACAAATTCACGGATAGAGATAAATATAAGACCCCTAGAAGGAATTGCAGAATATCAATTCTGTTTGCGTTTTGCTAATCTAAAGAATTAGATACTTGATGTTCTTACGCTATCAGAGATTGCTTACAGGAAGTTAAATAAGGTGATATTGAAATGATTTATGAAAGTATCGTTGACACATCTGTATCATTCCAATATTAAATGTTTCTGTTGCCTATCTTTCCTTATCTCGATCATTCGAACAAAGGGAACGAACTGTGTACTACAAGTAAGACAGAATAGACAAGTACATGGAAATATTTAAAAACAATATAAAACACTATATTCAGGTCACATCTGAAGAGCAATTCTTTTCCGATGCTCGGGTTCGATTCTCGACCCAGAGACAGGCCATGTGACGAGGTTTCTCGTCTCTTTCCTAAGTACATTCTGACAAATTCACCTAAATACTAGTAAACAGAATAGTGATTAGCGTTCCACTGATCATTCTGGAGGTCCCAAATTCTAATCAAGGCCTGAAATGGCTATTATCACTAAGATTTTCGTGTTTTTGTTCAACGTTTCGAGGCAAATTGTGGGAGAATACCTTCAAACTGACAAAGGTCCCTTCCTTGCTTATAATTTCCAATTCATCATATGCAACCATCTTCACATTCGACTCAAAATAGCCAATATATCTGAAAAAAAAAAAAGTTACTGTAAGATTTGGGTATTTCAGCTAGGTGACTGTTAACATTTCTATCTTGTGCAATGTGACGACATGTAAATTTTGTTGGTACTCATTCATGGAGCTGAGCCCTTCTTGAGGAGCCGCCAATTCTGCAGCTAATCAAGAATTTCCCAGAATTTTACGGAACCCGAAGGTTCATTACCATGTTCATAAGAGCCATCCACTGGTCCCTATCCTGAGCCAGATCTATCCAATCCATACAATCTCATCCTATCTTTCTAAGATCCATTCTAATATTTTCCACCCACCTACGCCTTGGTCGTCCCTGTGGTCTCTTTCCTTCCGGCTTTCCCACCAATATCCTATACGCCTTCCTCATCTCCCCCATTCGTGCNTATTTATATTTTTAGACATCAGATGAGAAGACAGAAGGTTCTGGACTGAACGGTAGCAAGCATTACCCGAGTTCAATCTCCTCTTAATTTCCTCTTGAATCAGGTTTCGATCTGTTATGGTTGTTCCCAAATATCTGAACCGTACATTTTGTTTCGGAGGAATCTGCTGCCTCCGTTTCAGTTGCAGAACACAGTCACTTCTACCCTGAATATGGAGGCAGCAGGTCCTTTCGAAACGTTAGTTTTGTCACGATTTAGGGGTCTGACTATAGACGGGGTATGGATTAGTGAATGGATTTATTGTCCACTTGTACACACAACTCGGAACTACAAATAAGTACAACGCCACCGCTAATCCTCACACTTTACAAATCTCTGCTGCAAACACTTGAATCTTCTTCAGCCGGTAGTGTCTTCAAGAGCCGTTTCCTGGTAACGGACGTTAACAGTTGAGATTCTTCAGCTTCCCACGTTCAGGCCCTTCCTGTCCGGTGAATATCCCGCGCCTGAACTATCTCAATTCCCTCAACCCCCCTCAGCTGTCCTGGGGTCCTCGTCATATAGTCTTGGGGCGGACTCAACAGAAAACACGATTTCCATCAATCACCCTGTTATCGTGGACGAGGGTTTACCGATTAGTTTCCCAGAAACGGGTTGCGTCAATGTTGGTCTATTGTTGCTTGCATATAGAAGGTTCACCTAACACCGGCTACTGTTTACTTAGTCACCGCTTAGCAGCGGTCTATAGGCCACAGTGCGTACATACCAAAGACCATACCATAGGTCAGGCGGTTAGTCGCCGGCTTCCCACCACGGCGGCCAGGGTTCGAGGCCAGGACAATTCATGTGGGATGGCTACCGGGGATAAAGCGGCAGGGGCGTGAAGCTAAGCACTCACTTTCAACTAGTGTCAAGGTCAAGAAAATGTGGATCTATATATCCACTCCCTCATATGACTTCACGGCTTAGCGCTTAATTAGTGAAGCACAGGAACAACTTTACCTCTAGCTACCAAACCACACTCCCCAGAAGACAGTAACTTTGAAACAGTTGCTGCGGCCGTGTTGCAGGCGCCTGGGCTGCAAGTGGGCAGTGGCTGTCTCCTTCATCGCGTACATGCCTTACATCGGGGCACAGTTCTACCCCACATTCTACACCATGATACCGGCTGGACTCCTGGTGGGGCTTGGCGGAGGCCCCCTCTGGTGTGGCAAGTGCACCTATCTCAGCGTCGTGTCCGAGATCTACTCCGAACTCACGGGCGTCCCTGCGGACACGGTGGTCGTTCGCTTCTTCGGCTTCTTCTTCATGATCTTCCAGCTAGCTCAAGTCTGGGGTAACCTCATTTCATCAACAGGTAACTGTTTGGATCATGGGACCGCGTAATTGGGTAATTCTGTTCAGGCAGTAATGCTTCTGGCTTATACTCGGAATTTGGGCGATCCTAATATTTTATCCACTTTATCAGACAACTGTGGTTCTGTATGGGTGTGAAACTTTGTCTCTGATATTAAGGGAGGTGTGAGAACAGGGTGTTGAGGAGAATATTTGGACCGAAGAGAGATGAAGTGACGGGAGGTTGGAGAAAACTGCACAATGAGGAGCTTCATAATTTATACTCTTATTAATGTATATTTAAATTGATCAAATCAAGGAGGATGAGGTGAGCAGGGCATGTAGCACGAATGGAGGAGAAAAGAAACGCATATAGGATATTGGTGGGAAGGCCAGAAGGAAAGAGACCACTGGAAAGACCAAGGCTTAGGTGGGTGGACAACATTAAAATGGATCTTAGAGAGACAAGATGGGATAGGATGGATTGGATTGATCTGGCTCAGGATAGGGACCAGTGAAGGGTTCTTGTGAACATGGTAATGAACCTTTGGGTTCCATAAAATGCTGGGAAGTTCTTGAGCAGCTGCAGATTTCGCTTCTCCTCAAGAAGAGCTCAGCTCCATAAGTAAGTCATCAGACATTTGGCAACATTTCTTTACGTGGGATCAGTACTTCGTATGGTTCTCCACACACATACGATAACCCAGAACCATGCCGTGATAGGCAAATTTAAATTGTCCTTGCGCATAATTAAAAAACATACCGTGAAGACGTATTGTGAGTGGGCGTGAAGCTCCATATATTCTTAAATTTACCATCAGAAAGAGGTGGGTGGGCAACTTGACACACCGGCCGTTTTAACCCCGAGGGATATGCCCGCTTTAGCCATTGTATAGGAGACTGCTTGAGCCCCAGATTTGATCTAGAAGCAACTGCTCCTGCAGTAAACAGAATCCCATTCGTCCAACCGGTATCCCAGCCTCAGTCACTGGCCGCCTAAGTGAGTGCGTGCATCGCAATTTCCGCTAACTTCAGCACTCCTTTAGTAGGCAGTTAAGCATTTAGAGACTGGGGGGGGGGGGGGAGCGGGGGGGGGG